TATAGAGCTGGATGAACACAGCAGGCCAAGCAGCATCAGAGGAGCAGGAAGGCTGACATTTCGGGCCTAGACCCTTCTTCAGAAAAGAAGGCCTGAAACGTCAGCCTTCCTGCTCCTCTGATGCTGCTTGGCCCGTTGCTTCATCCTTACAATGAGGTTCACTAGTGCGACTGAGGAGGGTTTAAGCTTAGACTGGCAGGGGGCTGGGAGCCAGAGCAGCAGGTCAGCAAGTAAAGTGATTGAGGGGAAGGTAGGTGAAGGGACCAGTAAATCGGAAAGAAAGGACCGGCAGAGACAAGTAAGTGAATGCGATGGTACTGATGGGCTGCAGTGTGTAATTTCAATGCAAGGTCTATTACAGGTAAGGCAGATGTGCTGAGAGCCTGGATCAGCCATGTTGTGGCCATTACAGAGACTTGGTTGAGACAGAGACAAGGGTTTTGTTCTTTCAGACAAGACAGAGGGGAAGGTAAAAGAGGTGGAGGAGTTGCATTACTAATCAGAGAGAATGTTACCTCTGCACTCGGAGAGGACGTGCTGGACGGCTCATCCACTGTGACTATATGGGTAGAGCTGAAAAATAAGATGGGTGCAATCACTCTGATTGGATTATATTATAGGACCACCAACCACCACTGAGACATTCAGGAACAAATATGTCAGCAGATGATGGAAATATGCAAAAAACCTGTTGTTATAGTGGGTGACTTTAACTACCCCAATATTGACTCTGATTTCCTTACATCAAGCAGCTTAGATGAGGCAGAATTTAAGTGCATCCATGAGGGTTTCTTGAAACAGATGTGGACAGCCCAATTAGAGAAGGGGCCATACTGGACCTAATGAGCCTGGCCAGGTGATTGACCTTTCAGTGGGAGAGTATTTTGGAAACAGTGATCACAACTCCTAAAGTTTTAAGATAGCTATGAACAAGGATAAATCAGGATCTTATGGGAATGTATTAAACTGGGAGAGGGCAAATTACTGAGTTTTAGACAGGAGCTAGGGTGTGTTAATTAGGAAGAGCTGTTGTCAGGCAAGGTTACATTGGAGACAAAAAAAAACTGCAGATGCTGGTATCCATGGTAGACAAACAGGAGGCTGGAAGAACACTGCAGGCCAGGACTGAGGAAGGGTAATACCCAAAATGTTGACTGCTCCTCTCCTCCAGATGCTGCCTGGCCTGCTGTGTTCTTCCAGCCTCCTGTTTGTCTGCCAAGTCCACATTTGACATGCGGGCACTGTTTAAAGACCTGATGAGAGTTCAGGACTGGCATGTTCCAGTAAGGCGGAAGGACAGGGATGGCAAGGTAAGGGATAATGAGGGAGGTTGAGAATTTAGTCAGAAGGGAAAAAGAAGCACTTGTAAGGTTGAGGAAGCTAAAATCAGACGGGGCCCATGAGGAATTGAAAGAAAGCTGGAAAGAAGTCAGGCAGGAAATTTGGAGAGCAAGAAGGGGCCATAAACTAACCTTGGCAAGTAGGGTTAAAGAGAATCCCAAGGCATTCTATACATCGATTAAAAGCAAGAGGATAATGAGGGAGAAGGTAGGACAACCCTGGGATAAAGGAGGGAACTTATTGCATGGAGGAAGTGGATGTGGGTGAGATCCTGAATGAGTATTTTGCGTCAGTATTCACCCATGAGAAGGGTATGGAGGATAGTGAGATTCGTATGGAGCAAGCTCATATGCTAGGGCATTTTGAGATTGAGGAAGAAGTGGTGTTGGGTTTCCTAAAGAGCATTAAGGCGGATGTGTCCACAGGGACTGATGGTATCTACCCCAGGTTATTGAGAGATGCAAGAAAGGAGATTGCTGGGGCCTTGACCAAGATCTTTGTATCCTCGCCAGCCAATGGAGAGGTCCTGACGGACTGGCAAATAGCTAATGTTAAGAAGGGATAATCCAGGAGAGTGTAGACTAGTGAGCTCACATCTGTGGTTGAAGCTTTTGGAGCAAATTTTTCGGAACAGGATGTATGCACATTTGGAAAAGCATGGCCTATTCAGGGACAGTCAGCATGGCTTTGTGCAAGGCAGGTCATGTCTCAGTAACTTGATTGATCATCTTCATCACCTCAAAATTCAGTGAGGGTAGAACAGTGAATGTTGTCCATATGGATTTTAGTAAGGCTTTTGACAAGGTCCCTCATGATAGGCTCATCCAGAAGTGTAAGATGCGTGGGATCCATGGTGACTTAGCCGTGTGGATTCAGAATTGGCTTGGTGGAAGGGTGCTTTTCAGGCTGGAGGCCCATTACTAGTGGTGTTCTGCAGGGATCTGTACTGGGAACTCTGCTGTTTGTGATATGTACAAATAACTTGGATGAAAATAATGATGGGTGGGTTAGTAAGTTTGCAGACAATAAAGAAATCGGTGGAATTGTGGGCAGAGTAGAGTGTTGTTGAAGGATACAGCGGGAAATAGACCAGTTGCAGATATGGGCAGAGAAATGGCAGATGGTGTTTAATCCGAGTAAGTGTGAGGTGCTGCACTTTGGGAGATGAAATGTTAAGGAAACGTGCACAGTGAATGCCAAGACCCTAAACAGCATTGATTTACAGAGGGATCTTGGGGTTTAAGTCCATAGCTCCCTGAAAGTGGTGCCACAAGTAGATGGGGTGTGAAAGAAGGCATATGGCATACTTGCCTTTATAGATCGGCGAATTGAGTACAAATGTCAGGATGTCATGTTGCAGCTTTATTAGGTCAAACTTAGAATATGGCCTTCAATTCTGGTCACCAAATTACAGGAAGGATGTGGAGGCTTTGAAGAGGGTGCAGAAGAAGTTTACCAGATGCGGCCTGGAGTAGAGGATATGAGCTTTAAGGAGAGGCTAGAAAAACTCAGGTTATCCCTCTGGAGAGGCAGAGGCTGAGGGGAGACTTGATAAATCTTGATAAAATTGAGATGCAAGGATGTGGTTGACACACAGAATCTCTTTCCCAGCGTTGAAATGTCTAATACTGGGGACCATGCATTTAACATGAGAGGGGGAAAGTTCAAAGGAGATGTGAGGGGCACGATTTTTATACAGAGTGCTTAGGAGTCTGGAACATGCTGCTGGGGTGTTGGTGGAGGAAGATACGACAGCGGTGTTTAAGGGACTTGAGGATAAGCATGTGAATATGGAAGGGTTGGAGGGACATGGATCAAGGGTAGGAAGAAGGGATTCGTTTAATTTGGCATCATGTTTGGCACAAAGAAAGACCCGTTCCTGTGCTGTTAAATTCTGTGTGATTTGTTCAAACTGCCTGGTACACTTTCTCTGGTACTGGTTCTCTGGTACACTTTCACACTGCCTGCCAGCCTACATCTTTGCCACTGTGCTCTCTGATTCTTGTTCACCTTCTCTGGCTGCCTGCACGTCTATGTCAAAATGCTTTCTGGTTCATGGTCTCACTACCTGTTGCATCTCTGTTGCTATGCTCTGTGGTCGATGTTCACCCTCCTGGCCTGTCTGCATCCCTCTCACTGAGCTCTCTGGCTCTTGGTCACACAGTCTGCCTGTCTGCATCCCTCTCACTGTGTGTTATGCATCCAGCTTGCCGTGCTGTCTGGTTCATGTTCACACTGTCTGCCTGTCTACATCCCTTCCACTGTGCTCTCTGGTTCACGTTCACCGTTCACACCGCCTGACTGTCTGCATTCCTCCCACTTTGCACTCTGATTTGTGTTCACATTGCGAGCCTGTATTATCTTCACTGTGCTCTCAGGTTCATGTTCACGCTGCCTGCCTGCATCTTTCTAGCTCTGCTCTCTGATTCTTGTTCAACCTCTCTGCCTGCCTGCATTCCTCTGTCACTGTGCTCTCTGATTCATGGTCTCACTGCCTGCCTGCATGTACCTCGCTGTACTTTCTCGTTCATGTTCACCATGCATAACTACCTGCATCTCTCTTGCTGTGCTCTCTGGCTCATGTTCACACTGCCTGCCTGCCTGTCTGCATCCCTCTGGCTGAGCTCTCTGGTTCGTGTTTACACTATCTTCCTGCTTCTCTCTCGCAATGTTCTCTGCTACTTTTTTCACAATGTCTGCCTGCCTGCATCTTTCTAACTGTGCTCTTTGATTCTTGGTCTACCTCTCGGCCTGTCTACATCTCTCTGTCATTGTGCTCTCTGATTCATGTTCGCACTGCCTGCCTGTCTGCATCTCTCTCATTGTGCTCTTGGGTACCTGTTTGCATTCCTGCCAGTATGCATCTCTGTCAACGTGCTCTCTGGTTCATGTTCACACTGCCTGCCTGCTGTATCCCTCTGACTGTGATCATAGTCATCTTACCCTCCTGCCTGCACCTCCCTCACTATGCTTTGTGCTTTAGGTTCACGCTGCAAGCCTGCTTCAATCTCTCTATACTCTCTGGTACATGATCAGCCTGTCTGCTTTCCTACATCTCAGTTGGTGTGATCTGTGATTCATGTTCACACTGCCTGCTTGCATCTATCTCATTTTATTCTCTGGGTCATGTTCACCCGCTCTTCCTGCCTGGTTTCTCTCTCACTGAGCTCTCCTATTTATGTTCACCCCCTTTTCCTGCATGCACCTCTGTCACTGTGCTGTCTGGTTCCTCGTCGCAATGCCCGCTTGCCTGCAACTCTCTTGTCACTAGGTGTTTTTTTCATCTTAATGCATCTGATCCACTGTGCTTTCTGATTCATGTTTGCTGTTTCTGCATCTCTGTCGCTGTGCTTTCTGTTTCTTATTTACACTTTCCACCTGAATTCTTGTTGTCCACTGTGGTTCATGTTGTCTTATTCATGTTCACGATGCCTGCTTGCATATTTCTCCCTGCACTCACTGCTTCACGTTCGCACTGTCTGCCTGTGTCTCTCTCACTGAACATTTCTGGCTCATGTTTGCTGCCCATCTGCATCACTCCCACCGTGTTCTCTGCTTCATGGTCATCTATCGTGCCTGCCTGCATCTATCTCACTGTGCTCTGTGGTTCATAATCACACGGCCTGATTTCATCTGTCTCAATGTGCCCTCTGTTTCAGATCTGACGCAGGGCGGCAGAGAGACATCACTGGCGAGCATTGACCATGACGAAACAGCAGATCGCGGATGAACCCAGCGTCAAGCAATGGTGAGCCCCAAACATTACATTGCTGTCGTGTTTCCATCCTTCTCTCCTCCTTTATTCAAAAAAAAAAAGTCTTACAGGGACTTAGCTTGGAGCCGGCAGCAGTCTGAGGGCAGAGACTTGGGATTAAACAGCTTCTGGTGATAGGTCGCGTGATTGGCTGTTTGAGCAGTGATTATGACATTTCAAATTTTTAAAACTCTGATCAAATTACCTGTTGAAATTACTGTATCACGAGTTAACTGCTAGTGCAAGTAAGTGAGAATTAGATTTAGTTTTGTTTTAGTGGGTAATTTTTGGTTTAATTAAAGGAACGACAGGCCAGCACCTTCAAGCGGTAACTGGAATAACAACCAAAAGAACTGCGGATGCTGTAAATCGGGAACAAAAACAGAAGTTGCTAGAAAAGCTCAGCAGGTCAGGCAGCATCTGTGAAGAAAAAAACAGAGTTAACGTTTCGGGCCCAGTGACCCTTCCTCAGAACCTAAGGTAACTGGGAAAATGTCAGTTTATATACAGAAAATAGGGAGGTGGGTGGGGTAGAGAGTAAAAGATAGGGTAGAGCCTAAAGAGAGAAGAATAGTTGGATAGACAAAAGAGTTGGTAACGATCTGGCTGGGAGGGTGAATAGTTGTTCATGGAGACTATTAGTGACGTACAGCAGGTGGTGTGTAATGGCAGGCTGTGTGGTAAAAAGGCCTGGTGTGTGGGGTAGGGGGCTAGGACACGGGAGAGTTTAGGCCCTAAAATCATTGAACTTGATATTGAGATGGAGGGCTGCAGGGTCCCCGAGCGAAAAATGACGTGTTGTTCTTCCAGCTGGCAGTGAGCTTCACTGGAACACTGCAGCAAGCTAGAGACAGAGATGTTAGCCAGGGAACAGGTAGTTCAGGGTCATTATTGCAAGCAGAACGTAGATGTTCTGCGAAACGTTCACCCAATATAGAGGAGACCACATTGTGAGCAGCAAATGCAGTAGACTATATTTGGGGAAGGGCAGGTGAAGTGTTGCTTTCCATTGTCGACATGACCCTGAACCAGGTCCAACCCATTTCCCGCACTTCCGCCCTTACCTTTTCTCTCCCTTCCTGCAACAGCAATAGGGTTCCCCTTGTCCTTACCTGCCATCTCACCAGCATCCACATCCACAGCCCCCATCCCACACACCAGGCCAATGAGTCCATAAGACCTAGGAGCAGAAATTAGGCCATTCGGCCCGTCAAGTCTGTTTTGTCATTCAGTCACGGTTGATAAGTTCCTCAACCCCGTTCTCCTGCTTTCTTCCCATAACCCTTGATCCCCTTGATAATCAAGAACCTATCTACCTCAGTCTTAAATGTACTCAATGACCTGGCCTCCACAGCCTTCTGCGGCAGTGAATTTCATAGATTCACCACTCTCTGGCTGAAGAAGTTTCTCCTTATCTCCATTCTAAAATGTCTTCCCTTTACTCTAAGGGTGTGCTCTCGGGTCCTAGACCCTGCTACCAATGGAAGCATCTTCCCAGCATCCACTTTGTCCAGGCCATTTTGTATTCTGAAATTTCAATTAGATCCTCCCTCATCCTGCTAAACTCCAAAGAGTATGGTCCCAGAGTCCTCAAATGTTCCTCATATGTTAAGCTTTCGATTCCTGGGAGCATTCTCGTGAACCTCTTCTGAACCCGCTCCAGGGCTAGTACATCCATCCTGAGATATGGGGCCCAGCACTGCATGCAATTCACTCAAATGTGGCCTGACCAGAGCCTTCTAAAGCCTCAGGAGTACATCCCTGCTTTTATATTCAAGTCCTCTCAAAATAAATGCCAACATTGCATTTGTCTTCCTGACTACTGACTCAACCTGCAAGTTTACCTTGAGAGAATCCTGGACTAGCACTCCCAAGACTCTTTGCACTTCAGACTTCTGAATTTTCTCCCCATTTCGAAAATAGTCCATGCTTTTATTCTTCTTAGCAAAGTGCATGACCTCACACTTTCCCACATTGTACTGCATCTGCCACTTCTTTGCCCACTCTCCTAACTTGTCCAAGTCCTTCTGCAGCCTCGCCACCTTCTCAATACTACCTGTCCCTCCACGTATCTTTATATCATCTGCAAACTTAGCTAGAATGCCCACAGTTCCTTCATTTATATCATCATCTCCTGTGAAAAACTGAGGCATACGAGCTGCCCGGCTGCAGTGTGACACATAGACATGAACTGCATGCAGAGTGTCATTTGCTGTGTCTAAACTGTACTTGATTAGAGATAGTAGGAACTGCCGATGCTGGAGAATCTGAGATAACAAGGTGTAGAGCTGGATGAACACAGCAGGTCAGGCAGCTTCAGAGGAGCAGGAAAGCTGATGTTTCGGGTCTGGACCTTTCCTCGGAATTTTTTTTCTTTTCTGAAGAAGTGTCCAGACCCAAAAGGTCAGCTTTCCTGCTCCTCTGATGCTGCCTGACCTGCTGTGTTCATCCAGCTCTACACCTTGTTATCTCTGTACTTGATTAGAATCTCCACCAACTAAACCATGTTGTCTAGACTGACTGGTTCCCCTAAATTAAAGCAGGATTCTCCTGATAAATTGCTTTCTCTTCTGGGCCAGCCATTCCCATTTGTTTACCTTGGATTCTAGCATCTGGAGTTTTTCACAATTGCTGTGTCCAATGTCCTCAGTTCTGAAGTCATGTGAAGATAAATAATATTTGGAATCGTAGGCCATTCAGTCCCATGGCCTTCTTCCACCATTCTGTGATTTGAAGTTGATGTACTCCAGCCTGAATTTCTCTTTCAGATCAGCTTAATACTTCCAATCTCTCCCAACTTCCTCTTCATATACTTGCAGTGATCGTGCTGTCACAAGGGAGAGAATTTCACTTTCATTACCCGCTGGGAGAAGAAAATCTTTCATCTCCCCATTTTAAAAGACCGACCCCTAATTCTCAAATTATGTCCCTAAGTTTGAGATTCCTTCAGGAGTGGAACCAGCTTCTCAACATTGACCCTGTCAAAATGTTGCTTGTTTCAATATGATCACCCCTCATACTTCTAATTTCGAATGAATAACAGCCTACCCTGTTTTAATTGTTCTTTTTACGTCAACCCCTTCATCCTTGGAATCAGCCTATTGGCTCTCTTTTGAACTGTTTCCAATTCCAGAATATCCTTTCTTAAAAGCAGGGACTCAACCTGTACACACAGCACCATGTGCAGCCTCACCAATACCACGTACACTGGGAAAAGACTTCCATATTTTAAACTCCAGTTCTCTAGCAATAACAACCAAAATTCAATTTGACTTCATTTTGCACCTGCCTGCTGTGTATTTGTGGTTCATGCATAATTTTTGGAGAACTTCATCATCAGAAATATCAGGCATGGCCTACCTTCTTTTAACTGTTGTGGGGAGTTCTTGTTTCTTTACTGCATTATTTCTTGTGACTATCAGTTTCAATGGGTCTGGAGTCGTAGGTTAGTCATACAGTCGGGGGGCCAGAGATATTACGTTCTGTGCCGGGGGCTTGAAGTATTATTTCCTCTGCAGTATTAGGCGCCTATTTGGGAACCTCGAGTCGTATACCATTTGGAGAATTTCAAAATAGCTCACAGGGTTGTTTCTAGATATTTGGCAGAAATATTGGTTTGGCAGAAATATTGGGGGAGTGTACGTGAACGTGGGCTGCATAAAAGGAGGCATTGAGAACAAAAATAGGGAAGTTTGGCTCCTTACTTGTAAAGCTCTGGTCCTGACTATTGGTACAGTTGCAATGACCATTTTCAGTGGGCCACAGGCCACTTGTGGTCAGTAAATCCCCATGCTCACAATCCTCAGAAAACTATCTCTGCCATTAGCGGTGATTCAGTTGCTGAAACTCATTTAGTAAACAATCTGGACTGAGCTAAGAGTTACACTTGAATCCAATTTAAAACCATTCGTGAGACCCACAGTGTGGTGCATTTGCATGTGCTAGAAGCTACGTACATAAATACTCAGCACTGATGGCAAAAGTAATTTGCAAATAAATTTTCACCTTCTTATAAGAAAAGGTCCAGAGACAGGCAAAGGCTGGTGCATCCTATGACGATGTCCTGACCGATCAGAATCTACCTGCCTGTTCTGAGAATTAAACTTAATGGTATCTCCATGCAGATTCTGGTTGAACCAATCAACACTTCCTTCTCATGCTTTGTTAAATGGATGTCTTTTCCTTGCCTCCTAGTTATGATGAATATGTGACAAAAGCTTCAACTTTTTGTCCCCTTTTAGCACCATACAGTTAGACAATGAACTGAGGGGTGACCATGTAGAGGTTTATAAAATCATGAGGGATATGGATAGCGTGAATAGCCAAGCTATTTTTCCGAGGGTGGGCAGAGTCCAAAACTAGCGGACATGGGTTTAAGGTGAGAGGGGAAAGGCTTTCAAAGGGTATTTTTTTTTCAGAGTGTGGTGCATGTATGGAACGAACTGCCAGAGGAAGTGGTGGAGGTGGGTACAATTACAATGTTTAAGAGTCATTTGGACAGGTACATGGATAGGAATGGTTCAGGAAGATATCAGCAGGCAAATGGGACTAGTTTAGTTGGGGAAATTTGGTTGGTTTGGATGAGTTGGACTGAAGGGCCTGGTTTATTTTCTTTTATTCATTTTTGTGGGATGTGGGCATTGCTGGCTGCCCAGCATTTTCTGCCCGTCCCTAGTTGCTATTGAGAAGGTGGGTTTTGTGTTGCTTTCTTGAACTGCTGCAGTCCTCCTGCTGTGAGTTGACCCACAATGCCAATAGTGAGGGAACGCCAGGATTTGGACCCATTGACAATCAAGGAATGGTGATATCTTTCCAAGTCAGGATGGTGAGTGGCTTGGAGGGGTACTTAAAGGTGGTGGTGTTCTCATATATCTACTGCCCTTGTCCTTCCAGATGGAAGTGG